AAAGGGGTTATATAGGGATTCTAGGGGGATAATGGAAAAGAAAATGGAAACTGCTATTTAGGGTTTAGGGTTTAGGGTCCCCTTAAGTAGATAGAATATGGGGTATATGGGAATCTTATTATACTCTACCCAAAGCCATATTCTATCTACTTAAGGGGACTCTACAGGGTTACTAGGGGTTTAGGGTTTTGGGTTTAGGGTTAATTCTCGTTAGGGCTGCCTGTTAGCTGTCACAGGGTTGGGGGTCTAGCGCTGTTGTAGGCTGTAGAGTCTATGGTTTAGCTTTTTGAGGTTCAAAGGTTTTGGATCGGAGTTTGCGGTTTGGAGGTTGTAGGTTTCAAGGTTTCAGGTCTGGGGTTTGAGTTTTGAGCGTCCAAATCTTTAGGATGGGGGTTTAAGGTTGAGAGCGAATGCAGGAAATGATGCGCAGCAGGTTTGCCAAGATGCTGTGATTCGCAACCGCAATCCCGTGGTTCTGAGGGCATAGGGTAAGGAAGATGTCATCACGCTCATTGTTTTTGGTCGTTGTGGCAGGGGTATGGGGGCTGCTCATGATGCAGTGGTTGTATTGAGCCTCAAATGTCTTGTTGAGAGATTAGAGTCTTGTCAATGTTTGTCGTTTTGTCATGGGTATTGTTGCTGTAATCGTTATCACAGTCATGCTCATCACTGTTAAACTGGAAAGGATGTACTGTAGAAACTTGAAGAACTATCGGTATCATATCCTCATAACACCGGCATAATTCTAGTAGAACATTTGCCCCAAAGCCCTGTTCTGATTATTCCAGCCTTTGGATTAGGTTTTTGGGGAATTGAGGAAATTTCGCTCGAACGCTTCAAACCCCCAAAGCCTCGCCTTCCCAGACGTTGAGGCCTCCCATTCCCCACCTTACACCCAGAAGTGTGGTTTGTGAGACTAGAGCGGCTAGACATTTAATGTATGCATACTGCGCGCATGGTCAAATTAAGAGGTTTTGCAAAACCTTCCAGGCATTCTTTCTTGCCCTCTGCATCCCTCTCATCTGTGCAGGGAGCGGAGTTTAGCGTGCACATTCCTGGAACACCCCCCCCAAAATGCCTAAACCTTTGTATGTCATGACGACAGGTGAGTCCATCGAGGACAATGGTCTAAGAGGTCGTACCTGTCCAGGGCCGTTAGGAGCCATGGCTTTGGCACTTGTGACAAGGGGTTGCAGATCGGAGCTGAAGGTATGACAGAATAGTTGCTGATAACCGTCTAGTCTAGTCCATGTCCTCGGATGGCAGGTACCGCAAGTATACATCCAGCAACTTATGTCAGTAATGTATTTGGCCCCAGGCATTGCAAACCATTTTGGCAACTCATTCTCGGCGCAGGGATGTTTGTCCTTTGTGTAGTCGTTTACAAACCTGTTTTGCTTGACTTATTGAACCTGCAAATGCTAGGAAGCTGAAAGCGTGCTGCTAATATTTCAGTGACCGAGCAGACCTTGAGGGTGGAGAAGAGCGCTCCTTGTTTCGGCGTGTGGGGATTATGGGGGTTTAGGGATTATGGGGTTTAGGGATAGCGGGTTAAGGGACTATAGGGTTTAAGGGCCATATTTCAAGCAACATTGTGTCTAGCGGAGCATCTGTACTGGTTGAATCTTGTTTGGGCTCAGGGTTTGAGAGTGGAGCAGGGTTTAGGGTTTAGGGTTCAATTTCAAATCCTAAGCTCTAAACTAAAGCTTAAGGTTCTAAACAATTGGGGAAAATGTTTTTCCCTAATTGCTTAGTATTTCAACTCCTAAACTCTAAACTAAAGCTTAGGGTTCTATGCTGAAAACACCACTCTTGGTGTCCGTGGCTTTTGGTCGTCTAGTTCGGTTTTAGGGAAGATATGGAGGCGGGCCTCTTATATGCTCAAGTAGTAGGGATGCAGAAGCCCAGGCCTGTTTGCAAGCATACTTCTGGCTGTTTATTATTACTGAATCTATCCAATGGGTCGCAAGCCTCCTGGTGAGTTAGTTGGGAGCCTGAACCCTAAACCCAAAGGTGGATTTAGGGTTCAGGGTTGCAATGCCATCCAGCCCTGTATTCCACACGAGACAAAGCTCAGATTGTCAACCAAGCCCTGAACCCTAAACCCCAAACCCTAAATAGTAGATTCCATTTTAGTTTCCATTATCCCAATATATCCCCAATATATGTCCTGTAATCACTATATAATCCATTATAGCTAAGCTTAAATCAAGCGCTTCGGCTCTAGAACCCTGACCCCCAATCCTGAGACTATATATAGAGGTATAATGGAAGAGAAAATGGAAACTATTATAATGGGGTTTAGGTTTAGGGCTTTAGAAGTCTTTATCCCCTGAGGTCAGTTCCCTGAGCCGAAATCTCCAAGCACAGACCCCTTCAATCAAGTCCCTACCTTGTAAACCCTAACGCCAGTGAAGTAGCTCCCAAACCCGAAGCTCTAGGCACTGAAGCCTGAACAACTACCGACGTTAGTCTACCCCAACACCTTATTCTTGTCATCATCTAGCCCCACTCCTTATTCTAATCCTTCCGAAAGTAGTTTCTGCACTCCGCGTCATTTGCCAAGCTGCCAGAACTTTTTGCAAGTTCGCGGCGGTTGAACGAAGCACGACGTTGGTAAACCCTAAGCCCTAAGCCCAGAACCCCATAACCCCCCTTAAGTAGATAGAATATGGCTTTGGGTATATTAAATTATACTAATATCCCCATATACCGCATATTCTATCTACTTACGCGAGACTATACTCAAGCTCAGGGCTTGCAGTTTTGATCCAATGCATGAGGGTTTGGGTTTTTGTAAGCCCCAGCCCTAAACCTAAATCCCTCACCTGAAGGCCTAAGAATTGTGGGAGTTCCCCAAAATGACGGGTACCTTATTGGGGGTCCCCATAATAAGGACTGTAGCATTTTGAGGTCTATATTGGGGGCCCCCTTGTTTTGGAAAACTAGCATATGACTAGTATTTTACTTGGGGATACTATGGTACCTAATATAGAGTAAGATTATATCCCCCTTTTGGGGTATAGTATTTTATATAAGGAATATCTTACTAGGTTCAACCACAAAAAAACGCTACTCATAGGGGGCTACTCCGATGAGCACTGACTCCATGCCCCTTCTTTGAGCCATGCCTTGGATGTACTTTAGGGTTTAGGGTTTAGGGGTTCAGGGTCTAGGGTTCAGGGTTTAGGGTTTAGGTTTTAGAGTTTAGGGTTCAGGGTTCAGCGTTTCAAATTCTTGTTAAACCCCAGGCCCCAGGGTGAATGAAAGGATTTCCATCGAACACAATGATAGTCATGGGTAGGGTTCAGGAAATGAGGAATTTGGTAGGCTTCAGTTTCGAGGGACTTCCGCATCTCTGAGCTTCAAATTTTTGAAATGCTCGGGCACCTACATCCCAAGCCCAAGCTCTGAACCCGAAACCTTCCACCCCTCAAAACCCTACCTGCCAACCCGTCGACTTTCCCATTCGAAGATCATGCGCGCTTCAGGGAACCCTGCGTTTTTGTCTCACTGGAAGAGCAGCCGCTACACATGTGGGTGAGCCACGCTCTGCCGGAGGAAAAAAAAAAGGTCGGAGGTCCTTCTTAGGAGGTTCCTGAAGGTTTGAGGCGGATTCAACAACAGTAAAAGCGAGCATGTTATGAATCCTGAAGTGATAAGAATAGCATTGAGAAGACCACGTTCGATAAGAAGAGCAATGAGAAGACCACTGTTCGTGATAATAGTAGGATACGGATAAGAACTGTACTGCTACTACTGCTACCACTACTGCTGCTGCTGCGGCTATCATTATTATTATTACTACTACTACTACTACTACTACTCCTACTACTACAACAACAACTACAGCTACTACTAGCTGCCTGCCCCAACTATGTTTGCAAAAATACACAAATGGTCAATCTGGATATGGGGGAGGCAGCATTAGCAAACAGTAAGCGACATGACAACCAAACGAGTTCTCTAAGGCCTGCTTTGTAAGCCTTATCTAGCCATCAGAGGCCTGAACTATGGCTCCAACGGATGCCAACTTGGACACGCTGTCATCAAAGACTTTGGGGTTACGCTCAATGACGGGTCAAAACAACGGTCTGGTAGTTTGTATGAAATTACCCTCCCTCCCTCCACCTTGCCCCAGTCCAACTTTTGACAAACATAGTTGGTAGGCAGAAGCTCTGGTAGTGAGAATTTCAACCAACATAGTTGGTAGGGGGGAGGCGCCTCCTCCTCCTCCTCCTACTACTAGTACCACCACCACCACCACCACCACGATGATTGAAGACCAATTCAGAAACTATCGGCGATTGAGAAACTATGATTCCGAAACTATTCGGGGCGGGTCAGATACTAATAACTGCACCGATTCAGAAACTACTGGCACCGATTCCAAAGTTATTTGTACCGATTTGTAGTCGGAATCGTAGTTTCTGAATCGCTGATAGTTTCTGAATCGGTTTTCAATCCTGAAGGTCGCGCGCCAATTCGGAAACTACAGACGCGGAATCCGCACGTTGAGGTTTCGAATCCGCGCGTGACCGACTCTTCAGGGATGGTAGGGGTCATGCAGAATTAAAGATACATTCAGTGGACGGCGGAAAACTGCAAATGTTTCTTCCACCGTAGCGGGCAGTTGAAGGGCTGAGCAATCCCGTCACGTGCGATGCTGTGTAGGCATTTTTGATGTGTTGAAGTTTTTGGATTTAGGGTTTGAAGGTTCACGGTTCCATGGTTTATACTGTTTATATAGGCCGAAGGGATAGGCTCCTGCTGTGGGCCATTTGGAGCTATCCTTATCTACCAGAGCCGTCTTCTTTACTCATCCCATTTTGGGCACGGGATGCCCTGTGCCAAAGCCTAGTAAACGGTGCCTTCGGTCTCGCCCC